GTTTGTTTGGTTTCTGTTTTTTTTTCTTCCCCCCAAGGCCAAGTGATGATAGTAATAATTCAACATGTAAAATTGAAATTGTAAAAGCACTGGATATTGAAGAAAGTATTTGGTCCCCTAGATTTGGATTGAAGGGCAAAATCGATGTTACAGTTGGTGTGAAAATACATCGAGGGTATAAAACAAAATATAAGATAATGCCATTGGAACTTAAAACTGGCAAAGAATCCAATTCCATTGAACACCGCAGTCAGGTAAACCCATTAATAAGATTGTCTGAACGATTCGTATTTGTAAAGATGTACTGTTTTCTATATTTTGGTTCAACTCAGGCCATTTTTATGTGTGTTTTGTATAGTACTGTTCAGTTTTTATTACCCCTAGATGTTTTATTTTTTCTTCAATAAAGTCATATAACAGCTGAAACTAAGCCAATGTTGCTAAGTGTTTGGTGCCCAACCAGGAGCACACAGATCCTCAAAAAAATAACAAAAAGGGTAATACCGTGGTCGTGTAACTTGAGGAAACTAAGTAGATTTGGAATTTTCACAATATCTATTAGCATATTAAGAGTTCTGGGAAATCTTAAAGCAATACCAGTTGTTTTAGCTGTGCCTTACCCCAAAGTTTTATAAACCGAATTTATTATGGAGCTATTTTTCATGACATATCCACTTTGGACACTTTAGGAATAAGTGGTGTAAATTCATTCTTTTATTTCTGCTATCTAATCTGATTATATTGATTTTTATCTAGGATAAACTATAAAACTGTATCTTATGTTTCAATTTAAAATGCTTTCAGTTTATAATCATCGTCTTTGGTAGCATAACACTCTTTTGCTGTCTTTTAAACTTATTTGAGATCCTGCTTATCTTTTCTATTTTTGAGGGACTCCTGCTTATCTTGATTATCAATCTAAATAATTAGAGGCTTCCCTTCATAGAACACCTACATTTTTCACCTTGATAATTCAGAAAAGTATAAGTTATAAACTAACTTCAATTAAGGAACATCTTTTCTTTATTAACGTTCCCCCCCCCCCAAAGTTCATTAATTTGACATTCGAAATGCAATTTCTTGAAGGTAACTTATATGGAGCTGAGATCCCCAAAGCAGTTCACAAAAATCAACTTAACTTGAACTATATTATTTATGTGAAATTTTTTTCAACTGCTGTTTACCGTAATATCAGGATAATTTCATTTCAAATTCCCAAAAAAGATAGTTTTTCCACTTAATAGTCTTAGGATAAAATAAATCCCCCTAAATAAAAAGAAATGAAATTTATTTTTGTTATTTTGTAAATACTTGTTGGGCACTTAATGGTAAGTTTACAAATAAAATTAGTATTTATCCTACAAATAGTATTTTGTACTTTCTGTAAATTAACCATTATGTTTTAAATGTAGTTTAGAAAATAAGACTGTTGTAATTTCTAACATTATACTTATGCATGGTAATTATGATGACTGAATTTGGTATCATAACTTTAGCATTTAGAGACTGGGACCTTATAAAACATTTCCTCTTTTAGCCTTGGAGATCTCATTGTGAGATTGCGTAAAAATCCAACCAAATGTCTCTTTCTAGCTGCTGCTGCTCTTTCTAACTTGCCTTAGATGGTTTCTCTATAAACCTAATATATTTAATGATGCCTTCTACTCTGAAAGAAACAGCAGAGTGTAGGATTAGTCACATTGATTTGCCACAGTAATAAGCATTTTAGTGTTTAAAGCAAAAACTCACTGCCACCAAATCTACCAATTCATAGCCACCCTCTATAGGGTTTCTGAGCTGTTGAACTTTGTAAGATAGTCAGCCTCATCTCCCTTGAAGTGACTGGTAGGTTTGAACTGCTGTCCTTGTGGTGTGCAGCCCAACACTTAGCCAAGTTCAATTATTTTAAATAGGCAAAACGATGTATATGCATGAATACTATTAACCTTAAAACAGCATAGTTTAAATACTTATTTTGTGGAAAGTAAATACTTGACATTGATTATGTGTTATCGGAGCTCATTAAAATAAAAATGGGCAATCTCATCTTCCCATCTTACATTTTATTTGTGTTATTTAATGGACAAACACACCGAGAGGTAGGCTATGGTATAGGAATCTTATTTCTTTTTTAAATTAAAAAAAATTTTTTTTGGAATCATATTTCTATAAGAGATTAAGAAGCCACTGAGATGTTTCCAGGAACTAGTTTCAGTGATGCTTCTTATCTTTATTGGGACTCCGGGAAATACTCAGCTCCTGGAGCTCCATGAAGGCAGCAAACCCTCATTCGAATCCTTTTCCCATTGCACCAAGGAAGGAAGCAGATCCACCCGTGTGTCTCCAAGCCTCATTGCGGGCGGCCCCCACCGGTCCCTACGCCCTTGTGCTGCCAGCTTCTCCTGGACAGTTTCTCTGGTGTCCTGTCTGTATTCCACTGTTTAGAATCCGGAAGTTCCATTTTATGATAACCAGGTTCAGGTTCATGTCCAGGGGCCATGTCTATAGGATGAGATACTAAGCTCTAAAACTGGTCCTTTGTAGTTCTTCAGCTCCTTCCCTATTCTCCTTTACCTCTCATCTCTTTATCCATGAAGATACTTCCTTTTTCCAGTTCCCCAAACATAGTTTCTTTTTTAACTTTAACCCTACTTGCTTTACCTGAAGGCAATCTCATCTTTCTCTCATGAAAAAAACTGGTGGGTTTGAACTGCCAACCTTAGGATTAGCAGCCTAATGCACTAACAGGGCTCATTTTATTAATTAAGGTTATGTTATTTTCAAAATAGAAGGCACTTATTTGACTCTTTGGTTTTGAAATCACAATGTGTATTGGTTACAAGACATTTTGGGGAATATAGAATGTTATGCTTTTATTTTATAAAATGCACAATTATTTTTGCAGGTAATTCTGTACACACTGCTTAGCCAAGAAAGAAGAGCTGACCCCGAAGCTGGCTTGCTCCTCTACCTCAAGACTGGCCAGATGTACCCTGTGCCTGCCAAACATCTAGATAAAAGAGGTTGAGCTGTTTTCTTTAAGTTTTACTTTTCTGTGTTTTTTCTTGCAATATTTTTTGACACATATTTTTACATGTTACAATCTGCTCACTGTACTTGCTAGGCCTAATGTAATTGAGACTGTTGAGAACAGTATTTGCTTTTACAGTTTTTTTATAGAAAACTTTGTTTAAATTTTCTTATGTCAGAGATACTCACACGAGTGGTTCTTATCACTTAATCAGCTAATGAAACAGCATGTCATGATACTTTTTAGATATGAAATACAGGGACCTCCCACTTTTTGACAGCTTCTTTATACTACTACTTTCACTTTTAAGAAAGGCCTACTTTCATACCTGTTTTCAAATAACTGAAAGAAATCTGTGCAATATTTTCACTTTTCCGAAAAAGAGAATAAAGTGACACTGGTGTTCAGCTTGTTTTTCAGCAAACCCTTAAAGAGCAGCGTGAGAGTGGCCGCTGCCAAGCCTCCTCCCTGGGAGCTGCCCTGTGCATATGTTATTTCCGCTCTACACAGGCTGTACGCTAATCACAGCATTCCTACAAGTATTGCGTATGTCAGTTTTATTCGGTAATGATTTGGTAGGTTATGCTTTGAGTTTGAGAATGCTCAATTTTTTCTCCATGTAAATTAATGGTAATTGCTTTTTCATTTAAAGCATCTATTCAACTAGTTGAAGCCTCTTTGTATATTTAATTCTTAAAAACACACTCACCATACTTACCTGGCAGGGGAGATACCATGATCACGAAGGTGGTTTTCCCAGGGCGAGGCTTATCCATTGCACTCCGGATGTGCTGACCCCTGCGATTTCCCCAAATGTGGGAAACTCGACTGCATAATTTGCGGTGGTGGGGGACTGCGTTCGCGCTCTCCCCTGAATAAAACAAAACAAAAAAAACGCACTCACCGTTTTATTTTCCTTCCATAGAACTATTAAAGCTAAGAAACGAGATGGCATTCTCTCTTTCTCACCGTATAAGCACGTCTGCTTCTGGAAAGCAGAAGACCCAGCTTGCTCCTCTGCCAGAGGTCATTGAGGACCAGCAAACCTGTAAATACTGCTCACAAGTGGACAGCTGTGCTCTTTACAGCAGGTAAACACATGGTCTTCTGAAACCAACGCTCAAGTCAAGTTTGAATTAGTTCAAATCGACTGACATTGATGAGTTCATGTTAGTTCTTTTTCTTTTAAATTCCCTTTTGTGTTTAGTATTTCCTAGTGAAGATCAAGAAAGAAAGAAAGCACAATTAATCCACATTTTCTAACAAGTTCAGTTCCTTGTAGAATAATAGAGTATTTTAAAATCTTTTCTGAAGGTAGGTATTTTATTCTTTCTGCACAAAATCTTCAGAGAGGTGCCATAAATTTAGAACTTATGTTATTATTTTTAAAAGATACAGGCATTTTGAAAACAAGTTTTCTTAAATGGTATTTAAGGAAGTTTTACAATTTAGGCTTTCTGCTCTGGTAAAGATTACATCCTCGGAAACCCAAAGAGTCCTTCTGTTCTATGAGATCAGTGTGAGTCAGAGTCCACTCGATGGTAGAGTTTGATTTGGGGTTTTATTTTAATTTCACATTCCTTTTTGTTAGATGTAGAGAAATTGGTTCTTCTAGGTGGAATAGTTTGATATGACCAGTGGGCCTTTCTTGCTTAGGTCGGGCTTGTTTCTATGAGTGGAACGTATACTGGCTCCTTATGATCAGTCATACCTTCCTAGGGCGGTGAAAGTGTCTGAAGGACACACAAAGGTTATGTAAATATTAACTAGGAATCAAGATAAAATCAGAACCAAAGTTCTAATTCTGTATGAGATTCGCATCAAATACTTTTTTGGGTGTGTGGTAGGTATATTTTTATTTATTTTATGCTTTAATACAAAGTTAAAGCTATAATGCTATCTATGGTGCTCAAATTAATCTTGTAAGACCACATAGAGTGGTATTCAAAATATACCAAAAGAGCCCTTAGTTGCAGAAGCCTGACTTCCCAGAAGTTTGGCCTTTTATAGGACAGGTACATTTCTTTAAAACCTTTTGTATTGGTCTCAATGCTTTATCTGCTGTCTCACATTGTCTTAGAAATAATGCTTTACTTTATGTGAAGCAAAATTGACACAATTGACTCGCCATATTTTTATGCCTTATGGTGCAGAACTAGTAGTACAAATATTGTGATTTTAAGAAATGCAATTGTAGAAAAAAAATAAACTTGTAAATAGGAATGAAGATAGAAGTATGCCAAATGTAGTGGTGGTGGTGGTTTGGCATACTTCTTGTAGGCAAAATAATGCAGTATTCTGGTTCTTGTGTGTTTTATGTTTTGTAAACAACATAATTTGCAGAATGTTGACATTGTTTTTAAAACTAGAGACTGGTTATATCACCTATGACCAAGCTATGTATGCATTTATTTTTTAAATACTTCACTTCATTGCCAGCTATTGAAATGTTTCACACACGACTGTAACCTGGAGTTTTGTATTTAGAGCGTTTGAACAACAGATGGATGACTGTTCAGTCCCGAGCGGCATGCTGCCCAAAATAACAGAAGTAACCCAGCATCTGACGCCGACACACCTGGCGTATTTCAGCCTGTGGTGTCTAATGTTAACTCTGGAAACACAATCAAAAGATAGCCAAAAGAATTACCAAAGTATATGGCTAATGCCCGCTTCAGAAATGTAAGTGGTCCATGTAATACAGTAAAACTTAAGTAATTTGTAATAGTTGGTGGAATGGCATTTGTAATTCTTGACACGTACAGGCTATATAGAATGTTAAAGAAGCCTTTGGGTGGTGTAAACAGTTTTGACTACTAAATTGAAAGTTGGTGGATGGAACCCTGCCCTCATCACTGCAGGAAAAAGGCCTTCCAATCTTTTTCTATAAAGATTAAAGAAAATCCTGTGGAGCTCAGTTTAACTGTGCAACACATTGTTGCCCCGAGTCGGAATTAACTGGATGGCAGCAGGCTTCAGCCTGTTCAAGACATGCCATTTCATATGTTCAAGACAACTTCAGATGGTGACCAGTGAACTGTGTCGGTAGACCATCATTTCTAATATACTACATGCTAGAATCATTGCTAGTTAGTCTTAGTAGGCTAAACATGCATTGAAGGAGCCCTGGTGGCAGAGTGTTTATGCGTTGGGCTACGATCTTCAAGGTCTACAGTTCAAAACCACCAGCCACTCCTTGGAAAAAAGATAGGGATTTCTACTCCCATAAACTTACTCAGAAACTCACACGGGCAAATACCCTGTCCTACAGGGTCCCTGTGACTTGGCATTGACCCCAAGGCTGTGCCTTTTAGACATGCATCATGAAATTTTATTATTAAAATTAGTATTAAGCCTTTTAAAGCAATAACAGTATAAATCAATATAATATAAGGTGAATTGTTGCATATTGATTGGGTGAAAATGTATGAGGCTTTCTTTGTTTTTTAAATACTAGCATTAAAAAGTTTATATTCAGTGAATTTTCATAGAAATTACCTAGACTTATGTGGTTTTTTTAGTGAGATCCACTTTCTACAAGTTATTTGTAAAATTATAATTTTGTATGTCTTCATGTAGTATTTTCCATTATGTGCAATCCAAGTGATGTAGTGTGATTTATTTCTTTCCAGAATGAATATATTTTTTAGTGAATATTGATGATAATATAACATTAGGAATAATTGAATTATTGTCTTCATCTTAGATTTTATACAAGGAAATTAAATAGTGGAGAAAGTTTAAATGATTATAAATAGATTGTAAACCATAGTGAGTAAGTTAAGTTTCCATGCCAGCATCCTCTGAAGATCTGTGGTATTTCATAAAAGTGGCTGGAAGACTGTAAATTCTTTTTTTGGGTAAATTCTTAATAGTTATTTCTTAGGAGCAATGAAACATTAATTTGTTTTTTTTCCTTTAAATTTGTTGTTGTTGATGGAAATATAAATAGCAAAAATATATAAATTCACCACACCCCTCAGGGGGAAGAACAACAGAAACCCTGGGGGAAGGAAGATAGTGGTTGGTGTATAATATGAAAATAACAATAATTTATAATTTAAAAAGGGGTAATGAGTGGGGGAGAGGGGCGGGAAGAGGCGCTAATACCAAATACAAAGTAAGCGTTTAGAAAATAATGATGGTAACTTATGTACAAATATGCTTGATACAATTGATGTATGGATTGTTATAAGAGCTATAAGAGCCCCCAATAAAATGATCTTTAAAAAAGCAAGACAAAAGAATATATGTAAATTCTACAGTTTTTTCATGTACCATTTATTGTACAGCTCGCTCCCCC